AAAAAAAAAACAGACAAAGAACAGGTGTTAGAAGACTGCGGGGGTATGCGTGAAGAGTTTTATGGGCCGTGGTTTGGTGAAGCACCTGTTTGAGGTGGTCCACAGTCAGGGGGAGTTTCTGCAGGGTGAGCAGTATGAGCTGCAGCAGGGGGGTGTTAGTGGTGGTCTTTGAGTAGGTAAGCCAAGAGTTCAACAACTTGTAGCCTCCAACTCGAATGAAACTGAGCGAAAGAGAAAGAGTTAAACATAAACTTGAAAGCAAAACGGTTTCAACTTTTTTTTTTAATGGCTATTACTCTTACCGATTAAGTACATCGTGTGATTTTGTCTGCAGTAAGATGTTCAGATACATGCATCTGCTGACCATTTTATGCGAGGCCTTCATGAGACTGTTTGAAAAGAGGAAAATATGTTAGAAATACTATTGGTTAATGGAACTAATGGCTTTTTAAGAGGTGTCCTGAAAATAAAAATGGTACAGCATCTCACCTGAAGACTTTAGCAACTCCCTCAAGGCTTCGTAGCTCTCCATCTTTCCCCAGCAGAGCTTCAACTCCTTTCAGCACCTCTCTGGGGTCCACCGGGCCCAAGGCCATAGCTGCTTACTGACAGAGGGAGAGAAAACAGGGGTTATTCTTGTGCTTATGCCACTGGGGAGAATCTGGGATATGGCATGAAATCAACCAATCAATATTGAAATAATGAGATGATGGCACTTAAGGAGAGCTCATTGGAACAGCACAAGGACAACGTTGAATCTTTCAAAAGTTCCCAGTAATGTACATTTACCAAGGCGACTGTGGATGTGATATAACTTGGAAACAAGAAACTCTGAATACATTGGGAACATAAATGGTCACATGACTACCAAAGACATCACAGCACAGCTGCTGTCAAGACTGCATGTATGCACTCAAAGAATGGAGAGAAACTTCTAGATGTTTTTTAATATATGGTAGACAATATGTACTGTTTTTTAATAATCAGATACAGACATCTTAGCAGTTTTCTGGTTCGCACTGGATGTGATTTGAAATCACAAATGCAATCATAACCACAGTACAAGCTGTGTCCATTCTGTTCACAACAGCAGAAGGTACAAAAGTAATGTCTTCATTAATAAACATACTACTTTAAACAACAGTTGGTTCTCAAATTTATAATGTTTCATCACTTAGAAAATTATGTAATGGCAAAAATGCTGGGACTTAATTCATTACTAGATCCCAAAAACTGTTGGAACAATAAGAAATTAAATATCATACTCCAACTGACTCCAAAGAATCCTCCCTGGTAAATAAAATGTTTAATATATGAATGTCTGTTGGGCTGTCAATATTTACTGGTTCTGCTACAAGAAAGGGGCAGCTGGTTCAACTGTTATAGTTTAACAGCCGATTGCAGAGTGAATAATTGAATAAGTCTGTCACTTATTTAATTATATGAGAAACTCAAACTGGATGATTGCTTATGTAAGCGCTATATAATTCAGTTCATAATCTGAAATGATGAAAGACAAACATAAAAGTAAAATGTTATATCACATGCGTCATGTCAATGTCATAAACCCACCTGCTTTTTTTTTTATATACACTGTACATTACCCAAAGTAAACATCACAGGTACAAAGGACTTAAGTATCAAGGACTACATATAAAATAATATAATGGCTGTGATCAGTAATGTGCATTCAGATTATTATATCACTTAACTAATAACTATAATTATACAAAAGCATAAATAAAATTTGAGAATGCACTTACAGTTACACATAGTTTTTACAATTTATTTTATTAGTATTTAAGTCATTTTTATAATAACCCTT